TTAAATTTCCCTCACTTCTGGCTTGTAGAGGAAATAACCAAAAACTGGGGGAAACCTGAGTGATCCAGGGCAGAGTCAGCAGAGGGAGCTCTGATTTTCCAGCTCAGCAGAAATTTGGGTCCTGGAGAAGCCAAATCCGAGCTGGAATTTGTTGTGATGCTGGGTCAGGGGCAGCCAGGGGGATCCCCAAAATCTCCTCCCTGCTCTCTTAGATGGGTGTTATAACTCACTGTAATGTGTTATTTATCAAAATACAGCCTCCAAAATCACTTATTTATTTTTATTTATTTTTATGTATTTTTATTTATTTTTATTTTTATTTTTATTTTATTTTATTTCTTTTTATTTCTTTTTATTTCTTTTTAAATTTATTTTTATTTTATTTATTTTTATTTATTTGAACACTTCCGGTTCAAATAAATTGGAATTTAACAGCCTGCTCGTGCTGTTTCTCTCTGTAAGAAATGGGATTGGGATCATCCTGTCCCTGTTTTCTGCCACATCCTCACACAGATTTTCCTTACACATCCCACAGGGATTCCTGCCCCTTTCCCAAGGGGTTTTATTGACTGCAGCAATGGGTATTATAACTCACTGTAATGTGTTTTATTATCAAAATACAGCCTCCAAAATCACTTATTTATTTTTATGTATTTTTATTTATTTTTATTTTATTTTTATTTATTTTTTTTAATTTTATTTATTTGAACACTGCTGGTTCAAATAAATTGGAATTTAACTGCCTGCTCGTGCTTTTTCTCTCTGTAAAGGGATTGGGATCATCCCCTTTCTGTTTTCTGCCACGTCCTCACACATCCCACAAGGATTCCTGCCCCTTTCCCAAGGTGTTTTATTGACTGCAGCAATGGGTATTATAACTCACTGTAATGTGTTTTATTATCAAAATATAGCCTCCAAAATCACTTATTTATTTTTATTTTATTTTTATTTTATTTTTATTTATTTTTATTTTTTTAAATTTATTTTTATTTTTGTTTTTTATTTTTATTTTATTTATTTATATTCATTTGAACACTTCTGGTTCAAATAAATTGGAATTTAACAGCCTGCTCGTGCTTTTTCTCTCTGTAAGAAATGGGATTGGGATCATCCCCCATGTCCTCACACAGATTTTCCTCACCCATCCCACAAGGATTCCTGCCCCTTTCCCAAGGTGTTTTATTGACTGCAGCAATGGGTATTAAAACTCACTGTAATGTGTTTTATTATCAAAATATAGCCTCCAAAATCACTTATTTATTTTTATTTTATTTATTTTTATTTTTATTTATTTTTATTTATTTTTAAATTTATTTTTATTTTATTTATTTATTTATTAATTTTTAATTTATTTTTATTCATTTGAACACTTCTGGTTCAAATAAATTGGAATTCAACTGCCTGCTCGTGCTTTTTCTCTCTGTAAGAAATGGGATTGGGATCATCCTGTCCCTGTTTTCTGCCACATCCTCCCCATCCCACAAGGATTCCTGCCCCTTTCCCAAGGGGTTTTATTGACTGCAGCAATGGGTATTATAACTCATTGTAATGTGTTATTTATCAAAATACAGCCTCCAAAATCACTTATTTATTTTTATTTTATTTTTATTTTATTTTATTTATTTTTATTTATTTTTAAATTTATTTTTATTTTATTTATTTATTTAAAATTTATTTTTATTCATTTGAACACTTCTGGTTCAAATAAATTGGAATTTAACTCCCTGCTCTTGCTTTTTCTCTCTGTAAGGGGATTGGGATCATCCCCTTTCTGTTTTCTGCCACGTCCTCACCCATCCCACAAGGATTCCTGCCCCTCTCCCAAGGGGTTTTATTGATTTTATCAAGCTCTGCCAGCAGCTGCAGCCTCAGCAGAGAATTCACAGCGTGAGCTGCCTTCCCTCGGCCATGGCAAGGAATTCAGGAATTCACTCACCCCAGGAATTCATTTCTCCGTGGATGAAGGAGTCACTGTGTAAAGTCAATAAAATGGGCAAATTTTTTAGTGCCAGCTCTCCCAGCTGAGGAGCAGGCTCAGGAAAGTTGGGCAATGAAATTTGAAATTGTGGCACCTTGCCCACCGTACCTGTGCAAACCCCCCAGGTGTGAGAGGAGCTGCAGCCCCAAACCCACCCCAGCAATTCACCAATTAACCCCATCCTTACCACGTTGATGAAGACCATGGTGGCTGGCTTCATCCTGTAGGACACGGGGATGGAGATGAGCCTGCCCAGGGTGATGAAGCCCCAGAAGAGGCTGGGCAGGTACCCGGCCACCTTGTGCACCACGGCCAGGGGCTCCTCCACGGCGTAGCTGTACACGAACCCCGAGTACTCTCCCTGCAGGAAAATCCTCTCTGAGGAAAATCCTCTCTGTGCAGGAAAATCCTCTCTGTCACATCCCTGTGTGTGGGGGCTTCGGGCTCCTCTGTCCCTCAGAGCGTGGTGGAAGGGTTTGGAGATCCACCAGCAGCAGGATGTGGGGTTGAGTCTGTCCTAAAAGGGCAAAGCTCCAAGGAAAACCCAGAGATCCTCCCTCCCTGAGGGGCTGCCCTGCCCTCTTGGAGCTCCACACNCCTGGCTTTCCATAACCCAATATCCCGGGCTCTCCATATGCCAAAATCCTGGCTTTCCACGCCCCAAAATCCTGGCTCTTCTCACTCTAAAATCTGGGCTCTCCATATACCAAAACTCTGGCTCTCCATTCCCCTAAATCCTGGCTCTCCATACCCTGGGATCCCAGCTCTCCATACCCCAAAATCCTGGGTTCTCCACAACCCAAAAATCCTGGCTCTCCATACCCCAAAATCCTAGTTCTCCTCACCCCAAAATCCTGGCTTTCCATAACCCAATATCCTGGGCTGTCCATATGCCAAAATCTTGGGTTCTCCACATACCCTAAATTCCTAGCTCTCCTCACCCCAAAATCCTGGCTCTCCACACCCCAGAATCCTGGGTCCTCCACACCCTAAAGTCCTGGCTCTTCTCACCCCAAAATCTGTGCTCTCCATATGCCAAAATCCTGGCTCTCCACACCCCAGAATCCTGGGCTCTTCTCATCCCAAAATTCTGGCTCTTCTCACCCTAAAATCCTGAGCTTTCCATATACCAAAGTCCTGGCTCTCCATACCCTGGGATCCCAGCTCTCCATACCCCAAAATCCTGGGTTCTCCACACACCCCAAAATCCTGGGCTCTTCATACCCCAAAATCTTAGCTGTCCATACCTCAAAATCCTGGGCTTTCCACACCCCAAAATCATGACTCTCCATTCCCCAAAACCCTGGGTCTCCTCACCCCAAAATCCTGGCTCTTCATACCCCAAAATCCTGGGCTCTCCATACCCTGGGATCCCAGCTCTCCACACCCCAAAATCCTGGGTTCTCCACAACCCAAAAATCCTGGCTCTCCATACCCCAAAATCCTGGCTCTTCTCACCCTAAAATCCTGGGTTTTCCATATGCCAGAGTCCTGGCTCTCCATACCCTGGGATCCCAGCTCTCCACACCCCAAAATCCTGGCTCTCCACACACCCCAAAATCCTGGGCTCTTCATACCCCAAAACCTTGGCTGTCCATACCCCAAAATCCTGGGCTTTCCACACCCCAAAATCATGACTCTCCATTCCCCAAAATCCTGGCTCTTCTCGCTCTAAAATCCTGGGCTCTCCATTCCCCCAAACCCTGGCTCTCCATTCCCCAAAATCCTGGCTCTCCATACCCTGGGATCCCAGCTCTCCACACCCCAAAATCCTGGGTTCTCCACATCCCCCAAAATCCTGGCTCTTCTCACCCCAAAATCTGTGCTCTCCATACACCAAAATCCTGGCTCTCCATTCCCCAAAACCCTGAGTCTCCTCACCCCAAAATCCTGGCTCTTCTCACTCTAAAATCCTGGGTTCTCCATAAGCCAAAATCCTGGCTCTCCACACCCTGGGATTCCAGCTCTCCACACACCCCAAAATCCTGGGTCTCCATACACCAAAATCCTAGGTTCTCCATACCCTCGGATCCCAGCTCTCCATACCCCAAAATCCTGGTTCTCCACATCCCCCAAAATCCTGGCTCTTCTCACCCCAAAATCTGTGCTCTCCATACACCAAAATCCTGACTCTCCATTCCCCAAAATCCTGGGTTCTTCTCACCCCAAAATCCTGGCTCTTCTCACCCCAAAATCTGTGCTCTCCATACACCAAAATCCTGACTCTCCATACCCCAAAATCCTGGGCTCTTCTCACCCCAAAATCCTGGCTCTTCTCACCCTAAAATCCTGGGCTTTCCATATACCAAAGTCCTGGCTCTCCATTCCCCAAAATCCTGGCTTTCCATACCCTGGGATCCCAGCTCTCCATACCCCAAAATCCTGGGTTCTCCACACTCTGAAATTCTGGGTTCTCCACACCTCCAAATTCCACACCTGCTCACCCCGAAGAATTCC